TTTCTAATTATAGGTGTCAAATATTCAACTTGTATAGTGTACAGCACAAATGTCAGTGTGCTGACAGCATGACTAGTCTGAAGATCATTGCTACAAAGTCATTGAAGTACCTAAGCCAGGTAAAGTCTTCTGAGTTTTTTCTCATAATCTTTCTCATCAGAATTATTTTTGAGTAAAGATATCATGACCTTCAAGTTCCCTATGTTTTATCCAGAAACTCTTGAATGTCCCAGCTTCTTAATGCCTCACAAGTTCTATATAAGAACATTTCACAGGGAAAAGGGATCAAATTAGTTTACCAGGTTTTTTTCATTGACTTTTTAGACTGCTCTCACCCAAGCACCATCCCAGCATGAAGGTGATCACAGGAACTAGGCAGTCACTAATCATGTTTCAGACTCAGCCAATTTTCTTGATCAATGTATTAGTACTGAATCTGAATTAAATGACACCTAATTGCAGTACACAGCATGAGTGCAAAAAGCCTCAGGCACTAAGGGCAAAGAGTTGCCTCTACTGTCAAAGATCTTTGCAACTGTTTCAGGAGTCCCAGAGTTAAGACTATTATGGTTTTCATAATATTCTTAATTTTGGTCTGGATCACACTCTCTTTCAGCCCCTGACATTTCAGATCAGGCTATGTAATAACCATCCTCCAGATTGTTACATTTACTCCTAGATGGTCCTGAATTTTAATAAACCCATAGGTGTGAGAGAGCATAGAGCTCTTGTCCCTGGCTAAACCCATAACTGTGTGTTTGAGATTTCAACTAGTTTAAGACAGGATTTATGAGTATTACTGTTTGTTTCAGTCACACACTGAATCCCAGGACAGAAGCTTCTGTATGATTCACTGGCACTGAAGTAATGGCAGTTCCAGCTAGACAATGAGAACAAGGGAAGATGTGATGTAGAAAAAATCTGTAATGTTTTACACAACATAGTCTCACATATTCATATGCATCTAGGTAAATAGAATGCCCATGGTTATTTTCTCATGAGCTTAAGATGCTCAGAGCTCTGAAAACTGAAATGTGCTGAAGTAAATTTTAAAAATGGAAATTTAGGTGGCTATCTTAATAAAAAGAACAGATTCTTTATATAGCAGTTTAGGCTTCCAACTTCACATGTTCTCAGAGAGATTTGTGCAGCCAGGCAATTGGGGTATCTGTGCTTCCTATTTAGCAACAAGAATGTTGTAAAAACCTTTTCAGGTCCTCAGTGTTGGTCTTATGCTCATAAAATTACATTTATTTTTGGAAAAAAAAAAAAAAAAGAAAAGAGAAATTAAGATAGAAATTCCCAAGGGTGTTTTGAACAGAATCTAAACACTATGTGTTTATTGGGAGCAGAAAGCAGAAGCAGGGGCTCCTAAGCAGCATGATTTCACCTTTCAGGGAGTATCAGGCCAATACTCTATTGTATCTTTTGGGATTAGAATAGAAGTGACTGAGGGCAGATCCATTCACCTATGGTATTCCTGGTGTAACTGTAAGATGATGAGTGCGAGACATCAAATTTACCCATAGCATCCTTGCATTGATTCAGCATCTAAAAAGTCCTTTCATCTTTTAAAATACAGAGCCAATTGTTACATTCCAGCACTAAAATGAGATGCAATTCTTCTAGTTATATTAACTTTATTTTGCTATTCTTAATTTTATATACCTTTAATTTATCTTAAAATAAAGTTGTATGCTTTTCAAATACAATATTCCTTGACATGGCTAGTTAGTTTTTTTTTTCTTCCAGTTTATTTTAGATCATCATATTTATACCATTTGCTTACTGACTTCTCACATCAGCTTTTACAGCAGCTTTTCAAGAAGGTAACTGATTTCATGGTTCAGTGCAATGCTGATCCTTGAGAACAAAGGTTTGAAGCCAGAGATAGTTGGAAAAATGCAGATAGTTTAAAAATATACATATATAGCCCTCCCACAAAAATACCATCTCTTTGGGGCAGAACAGAATAGTCATTCTTTAGCACTTTGTATAGACTTTAAGAAAACATCCCTGAACCTATTTGTTTTTCCAAGTTCATACCCAGCCATTTCCCTGCAGGCTGATTTCACACTGTTATTCCAGCGAGTGACTGTGTTTTCAATGAAATGATCTGTTTCCTTGTGCTTTAGGCTTCCTCTTGGACCTGCAGTGTTACTGTAATATGAAATATGATGACACATTTTTCTTTTATAGGGCTCTTCATATTGGATATATTGAGAAGTAGGTGTAAAGTGTCTTCTGTTTGCTAGCTCCTTTGTCAACTGCTGGGGACATACCCTTCACTGGAAGTTCCCCTTCCCCAGTCAGATTGCTGTGCCGGTATTTTCCTTGACATACATATAATAAAACTGTTGCATTGACATAGTGAGTAAATTGACCTGTTACTGACCAAGAGGGGGATGGAAGAGCAAGGTACAGAAAATCCACTATACATTCTAACATTTAGGCTTTATCCTTTATTAGGTAGTGAGTAAGAGACATAAAAAGAATTGAGTTTGTTGTTTACAGCTGAAATTTAAAAGAGACTTGTGTGAACAAAAACTTGTTCCATAGAGCACTGTGACAAAAGAGGTCCAAGAAAACTGAAGGTGTCATTGCAAATTAGCTGATGTAAGTATAGTTGGAATGACACTCTTCTTATTTCTAGCAAAACTTGTATTAACTCTGCCCTTAGTACTGTGCCTCCATACATGCCACAGGCCACATTTTGGCAAGATCAGCCTGTTGATTTTGATGGCATCACAACATGGCAGGATCTACAGCAGGTGTCCAAGAACCACAAGAACGTGCATAGGAGCCTACAGAATATTTGTGGCCCTCCTTTTTTCCCATCTGCATGTTTTTTCATGGGGAAAAGACTGCCTGCCCTTCCCAAAATGCCAGTTCTCTTCTGCTCATTTAGCAAGCTCTTACTTACAAAAGGCTCTGGAGATAAATGGTGGTTCATGGATCACAGCTTGAAAGCTGATGCCCTATTTAAGGAGGAATCTGAACACAGCTGGCAATGGCACTACAAATTCTGAAAAAAGACAGAAGGTTGAAAGCAGGCTTAAAAGACCAAGGCCAAGGTTTTGCAAAGAGGAGTTGAACCTTACTACACTATATATTATGGAAACATTTCTAAATTGAGTCTTAGGTGCAGGTTTTGAAGGCTGGTCTTTTTGCTGGGAGCTGTGGAATAGGGAGCCCTTTTAAGATGTCAGCCCCTAGTTACTTAGGTGCCTAAACTTGGCTTCAGGAACTTACCCATAGTCTTCTTGTTTTGGAAATTGGGCCAAAGCAATCCAGCTAATAACCAGCCCTGAAATTGTCACTGCATCATTTTCATGGCTACATAGGAGTGAATTAAATATAATCAAAAGCCCATTTTATTTCAAGGCACAAACGTTTGCAAATAAATTGGATGAAATACAAACACATAATATAGAACTTATTTTTCTTATTTTAATACTTCTAGATAAATAAATGCATCTCTTTGGAATTCTTTGGACACAGACATCCATGGAACCTCTTCTTTCTCTTTATATATATATTTTTTTTATAAAATCTAAATGTGAGAGTTTTAAAAAATGGCAAATACCAATGTATATGGAAGGCTCACTGATGAATTGCAAGTCAAAAGTGCTGTATATTCCCATCTTCTGTTTCTCCCAACTGTCCATATAAACTGCAGGCAGTATTAGATAGTAACCACATGGTCAATATTTTGCATTACTACCTTTTAATGAAATCTTTCATATCATTTCCCCATCTAAACTTAAATTATGCTTTTAAATTTTATTCCTCCTAAATGTATGGTAGGCATTTCTCTTAGCTACATGTCAGAGTGGTCGCATGTGACTCAGCAGCGCACTCCGTAGTATTAATAGATACTTTTCAGCTCCCGATGGGAAAAAGCAAGCAGCAAGAATCAGATTCAAGAAGTCTATTTTTTTCTCTGCTGTTTGTTACTTACCACTTAATGACCCACATGTGAAACTCAATGGTTATATAATTACTTTATATAGTAGATTTTCTGTTTATAAGTTATTTTTCTTACTCTAACATATATACAATATATCTATATATACCCCTGATAAATCTTACTTTAAAGGGACACAGTCAACCCCTTTAAGCCTCACAGTAAATATATAAGGCTTTAAGCTGTCCACACATAGAGGTCAGTTACAGAATTCAAGGGTCCCTTCAGATCCTAAAGGTTGTATTTGTTCCAAACCCACGATGTGCAGTTATCTTGTAATATGTATCTCATGTGTTGCTGTTTACATTTTATAGGTATAATAAGACACTTTATATCACATCAGTAGGAAATAAAACAAGTGAATAAATCTGTTTCTAAGACCTATTGCAAAAAAATATTACCTTTATCTACAGACTCTCCCACTGGTGTGATATAAAAAGAATACGTGCCATTGTTGGGATGAAATTCTGGCTACACTGCAGTCGGGAGGAACCTCATACCGACTTAAATGAGGACAGGATTTCTCTCCTGCTTTTTGTTTGCAAGTTATGACAATGTGTAACCCATTTGTGTCTTCTCTCTGCTCAACACTTAAGTGCTAGTCCTGTTTCATGACAAGAGTGTACTTTTTGCTGTCAACTGGCATGTCTTAAACATTGGTCTATCTTGTATGTTCTACACCTTTCAAATATACACACACTGTACACATACATTCTCAGTTAAAGAGAAGTTTGACCTGTTCTGTGTACAGCATGTGGATTACTATTTTTCCTCACTGAATCTTCTGTATCACTTACTTTGCCCCAACCATAGTTTATCTTCATGCCTATTCTTCTATGGGTGAGGAAAACAATTTTTTTCTCACCAAGAACAGCTCCACATTATTGTCATCATTTTTGACTACTTACCAAAGTGACATAATTTTTTCATTTTATCTTTTGCAACTCAGTTAGAAACCTAGTGGCATAGACAGAGACACAATACTACTGTTTTACAAGACATCTATTGTATCTACTTTTGTTCAGATAAATACCCAGTAACTGCTGATTTGGCAGGAGGATTGGTAAGGGTACTACTATTCACAGTGTTTCTTTTTTTTTTTTTTTTCCCTTCTTTAATCTACAGAATAAAGTATTTTATGTACATTGGAACCAGTTAATGCCCTTTAGACAAATTTGTAAGTTGTTTCATAAAGCAGGAAAGACATTGCAGGGAAATATGTGCCAAAAAGCACAGTCAAAAGGCTTCATAAGTTTTATATGTCACTACAAGTCAATGCTGGAGATCAGTTCTAAAACAACCAATACTCAAGAGGAATGTTCTCATCTGGAGAAAATACTACCCATTCCCCCTTTTAGAATTTGTTCAGTTCTCTATCAAAAGTCCTGGCTCTTCATATATACTTTAAACTATAAATAAACACTGCATAGTTCAATGTTCTTGATTTTCTTTTTTGTTTGTTTGTTTTGATTTTGAAAAATTATTGCAGTACAATTAATTCCTGTTTGGAGTTCAGTAAGGAGCAAACAGCACAGGAGTATGGGTGGTCCGTATAGGCCCTGGAGCTGGTCGTAGGAGTGCTGGCGGAAGTGCTGAAGTCTGGAAAAGGGTGGCTGCTGGGGCTGTTCGAAGACTGAAGGGGGAATTCACAGCCACAGCAGCAGCTGCTGCTGCAGCTGCTAGCGGATTTGGTAAGATTCGTGGAGCCATTGGCTTTGAAGGTTCCTTTGAAAATACTAATTTTACCTGTGGGGGAGAGAGAAAAGAAACAAACAGAGAGACATAATATGTTCATATTAGCTACCTGTCAGGGAATTTGACTGAAGGCTTTAAGTTTAAAATCACGTAAGAGAGGCCTCGTAGTGACTACTGGCTCTAAGAGCTGCAGGCTTGTAACAGGACATATGATCTCAAACCTTGGACAAGGATGAGCAGGATTTGGTTGGGGACAGATTTTCAATGTTCATGCCTTATCACTGAGACTTGTAATTTAGTACGATGTTAGAAATCAAATCAAACCTAAATATGGGCTGAGCAATCTGCATCAAAGTAAAGCTGCATCTACCCTGCAAGAATTAAATGAAGAATTAAAAGACCTCCACCTGGACAGCTTTATGATAGAGACCAGAGCAGAATGAAAACATATTCTGTTCCCTGGTCTGGCTAAGAAGGGACTTTTGGTTTTATCATTAGGATGCAAGTTCTACTTAAAATTAAGATCTCCAGCTAGAGATCCTGTTTATTACCTTCTGCGTCTAATATCAAGCAAATAAGCAAAGATTATCCTACACCAGTTATGGAAATCTCCTAACGTTTCTTATGTTCAAATAGGTGATGAATTCTGTGGGTGCTGTCCTATGTCATCTTTCTGTGTCTTCAAATGTTTTTCACTGAGACACTGTCTATTCTTACAAGAACTGTGAAAAAAAGTGGCAGATATTTAAAAACGTTGTCATGAAAAACTCTTGCCTATATAATTTAGTATGGTGCCAAACCATGATACTTCTGTTTCTGCCACTGAAGCTTCTGCTTTAAAACCATTTAAATCATGGTTCTTGTGCACTACCAAATAGAGTTTGAAAAACTTCTCATTTAGAATTTCCAAAAAGAAAAAAGTAAACTCAAGCTTTTCTCAGACTGATTGAAAATACTCACAGGTGTCCATTATTATTTAAGAGAATTTACATTTGGTATGCATAAAAATGAACATCAGAGTAGTCTATATAGATTTCTGCAGATTTCAATGAGATTTTGGTTACTAATAAGAAGCCAGGAACCTGAGTACCTTTCTTGTTCTGGTTTTATAAATCTGACATAAGAATAGAAACCTCATCCACTGAGACAGAAAAGTTCCCATTTGCTCTGACAGACTTTCAGTGGGTCTATGTCTTGGCATGACCTGAGGCCCTTTGCAGAGAACACAAACCTGAATATGTAATATTGAAAATGCAGAATATAAATACATGTGCAATACTGTGGTACATCATAGTGTAATTATGGACACTTATCACTCACAGACAAATGCAATTTCTCATCCTTGAATTGAAATAGCCTTTCAAATAATTAACTTGCATTACCTCAATCTGATAATTTCGACTCAGCAATACCTTGGGGAGTGAATAGTCAGAAAGTAAGGACAGGAGTAGTCTGGCATGAACCACTAGCAAGTTTCATTGTTACACTATCACCATATCCAAAAAAATCTATTGTTTCTTTACCAGCCAGATAGAAGGATTTTGACTTTTCCAAAGGCACATTGGCAACTCTGCTGGACTCAAGGTCCTTTAAAGCTCTGGGAGAGATACTCAGAGGGGACCAGGTTCTGCAATTCTTTTAACAGATGATGTAATGGATGTCATATACAAAATTCCTCATGGTGCCTACAAAAATCAATGATCTCATCTTTTCTTTGATCAGTGTTACACCCACTGATCCAAGCTGTATTCTTCTCTTGCTGAGCATTTGACAGTCTCCTTCCTTACTTTTTTTAGTAAATAGGGGGTTTTCAGCCGTATTTACAACAGATATGAAAAAAACCTTTCTCACTCCAAAAAAATCCTAAGTACAAAGTACAGAAAAATCCAACCTAAAATAACAAGGCTCTGAATGTAGACTACAATTCCTAATGAAGGATGTTTTTCATTTGGACTATCAAGTTCCTGGCAACCTCTTTGTCTCCAGTATAGTATTTTATACATGATGGACATCTGTGGCTTGAATAAATATCAAGTAAGTCCCAACAATACAAGAATTCATGAAGCTTTCTTCTTGAAGCATACAAAACTAAACAAGACACAACAATACAAATGATATTGAAAACAAGGCATTGGAAAGTGTTTGATCTAGAAAAGCTATGAAAATGTAGTATGTTCTTTTTTAAAAATTTCTGTAGAAAAAAAATTTGGCTAAACTCATACATTTTTTGTCACAAAGAACAAAGATCTTACGTGATTGTTTATATTAAAAGTTTAGCACTATCTTGCCATTCTTGGAGGAATTAGGAACTTCTGAAGAAGTTAGATAGTTAATTTATCAGCTTGGTTCTGATTTCAAGATAGACATACACACTTAATATTTAGCATATACAGTTCCTTGCACCTTCATTTCAAACCTCTCTGCAAGTACTAATTAACACACAGGTCAAGATTAAGACTAAAGTATAATTTATTTCATTTTCAATGAAGTAAACTAAGGGACAGCAAATGACTTGAAAAATTAACAGGGTGTAAATAAAAATTCTAGAGCTCATCAAAACCATCTACATTCCAAGCAAAATTAGCACATCTTTGGCTTGCCATTCTGCATTTCAAGTAACAACAACTTTGTTAGTTTTTCTATTCAAAACCAAAAAGACTAAATGGAGAACTGGTCTCATCCTTTCTCACTGCAGCCTCCATTCTACCATGCATATCTGTTCATTTATTGCTAACTCATTCTCTCCTTCTAAAATCCTCTTTGCCATTTTGCTCAACTCTGGCCTGACTTGTGTATTGTGAACAGTTGGGAGTGAGGGAGCAGGAAAAGGACAGGTTGTCTTTATTTGTCTATGTGCAACTAAATGTCCTCGATCCTTGGCTGGAGTTCTCAGAACTCACCATTACATAAATTGGCAAATAGAGAACTGTGCACAACAGTGACAGTAATGTAATAGTTATTTTCATCCCCTGGGAAACAATGTATTTCCTAAAGGAATAATAATCCTGTCAGAGAGACTTCAGCAATTCCATATCCTACTTACCTAATCACATATTTTCTATTCTTTTCAGCATAACTTATATGTATTGAAGACCGTGGTGTTCCTGAACTGAAACAGTAATCCTGAAGTGGATTACTGAAAAACCCTATGGGGCTATTTCCCTTCTAGCAGATCTATCAGAATGGTGCACTGTGTTATGCTGTAACCCAACTGGATCATTCATGACTATACCTATCATGAGGGCTGCCCCTACAAGGAGACAGTATTTCCATTCTCAAGAAAAGAACTTTAACTCAAGAAAACTGGGTTTTCACAGGAAAGAACTCCGTATTCTGCCTGCATTAGAGAAGATGGTCAAGGAATAAGGGGCTAATTTCTACGAGGGCAATGAATCAACATACTGCCCGTGCCAGAACTATCTATAAACCCTTACAAAACACCATGGCACATAAAAGAAATCACTCAGTTTATCTGACGGAGATAAGTGTCACATGCTTCACTATCCCACCCACAGTATATGCTGTTTTTTAACTAATGGCAGGATACTAGCAGGAGTTTTTTTATTAAAAAATAAACCTTTTTCTTAGCTTTTGAAGCCAGTAAGAACTGTTTTTCAAATAGTTTATCCTTGCAGTCAAAAACATCACCAGAACAATCCTGAAACTGAGTGGAATGAAATGAGAGATGGAATTTTTTAATTGTTTCAATTGTTATGTGGGTAATTTTCTAAATAAGGCCAGAATAAAAGTTTTATGGTTTATAGTTTTATTTAGTCATTTCATCATCATTGTCCTTGGTGAAAACTGGAAAAATCCTGTTTGACATCTGGATGTTTCTTTCGTCTCTTGCTCCCTAATGACCTTTGAAACAAACTTCTTTATTGAGGTTATCCAGAGTAGCTACAAAAAAATGAGGACCCATGGGTTGTAGCCCACATCCATTAAAATATATAAAAAGTCCCTTGTGGGCTCATTCAGACGCTTATATACTCCCATAGCTTATGCTATCCCATTCATTTCAAACATTTTTCCACTTATATTTTCTAAAAACACTACTCAGCAGGGTTAAAATGAAAGTAAAATAAAAAGGAGTCTGCCTTACCCCTAGAGGATGTGTTCCCTTTTGGAGTTTGTTGTAAGGGCTGTATTTAGGTTTAGGTGGCTTCCCAGCAGCTCTGTCTTTGTGCCTTCTACTGCTTATGTGCTGTTAAAATACATTTGTGAAAAAGAAGGAAAAATAAAGAGAGTGTTATTTCCATAATAGATCATTTCAGGTTCTGCTTTACACATGGGTTCTCCAGTATAGAGGGCTACTACTCTCCACAACAGTGTTACTTTGACTAATTCAGTAACAAATGCAAATAGGGTCTGTTCCAGTTGAACGACCCTTTGTGCATTACATATTGGGACTGTGATTTTCCACAGTGCTCAGTTCAACTCTGCTTCCACTGTAGTCAATGTTTTTCTCATGTTTGTTAACTTCAACAGGACCTGAATCAGGTCAAAGATAGAAGCCTTTGAAAAATTCTTCCCTATCTGTAAAGTGCCCGTTGAATTCAATCCACTGCTGATAGAATGTTTTGGAAGAATATGAGATAGTAGAGCATCCCCTATTCAATGGGAGTGGGGTGGGGAAAAGGTCACAAAATTGTTTAAATCCCTAAGGCGCCTAGACATCCTTTTAAGATTTCAGCTGAAAGATGGTTCCATATCAAACTAAATGACAGTGGAAAAAAACCCACAAAATCCATTATCTTCTTCATAAAATCTATGAGATTTTACACGAATCCTTCTACATAGACTTCATTGCAGTATTAGATGTAAGGGACCTTTTTCAGAACTATATTTTTACTTTTATTTTAATTCCTAAGAGAGTTCTCATAAAAAAGACAAAGAACTGGACTTTTTTTTTTTTTTCTGAAAGCAGAAGACAAATATTGCTATTGTCCACTGCAGAATTTATCTTCATTCTTGTGAAGTTCCTTAACAAGCATTTAATTCCAAAAGGCATATGGAATTAAACTAAGTGTTTTTCAGAACTAAGGCTTTGTTCATCTGAAGAATGACTGAACATAACTTAGTGTAATTGCAATTTAGAGGTCATGCTTCTAGCTGATCAGAATAACACTGACTGAAAAAAAAAAAAAAAAATTACAAATCTTCTCCATCCCGCATTTCTAAGCAGGTTATTCAGTGTTTTGTGAAAATACTGGCTGCACCCATGTCCACAACTTTGTCAAGGCAAGTGTCATGCAGTACACTAAAAGGCAAGGTTTATTAGCTCATGACAGGTGTAGCAGTCTAAAGACAGTGGTAATACGTTACAGCTTACAGCTTCTACAACTCTTTAAGACACATATATAATCAAGAGCTTTTGAGAAAACACATTCTGTGCAAGGGAAAATCATATCCAAAACAAAACATATAGTATGAAAGCCAAGTACAAAGGGCAAAATATGTAAGCTCCATTTGGATGTGAACTGTTAAGACTGACACATGCTGATTGTGTTGGTACTTTGTCAACATGAAAACAAAGAACAGCCAAGGATTCACACTCTGCAAGCTAGCTGAGTACCTGTTTCAGTTGTGTCTCAGAGTTTACGTGCACATCACATATTTCACAGTGAAATGTTTTGTTCTGAAGGCCTGTGTTTCCTTTATTCACAGGTCCTTTGCCTTTTACGCCTGCCCGGGGAAAGGCTTTTATGGTTCCACTTCCATTCCGAGCTTCCAGCATAGTTTTGTGCTTAGTCCCTGGAGATATGGGAAACAGAAACAACTGGCAATTTGGTTGCATTCATTGTTTTATTTTCTTTTTAGAAGAAAATCATATGAACCTCAGCTTGGTGCCACGTGCTGTCCTTGGAATATGCCTGTGTTTGTCTGTACCAGATTCAAACCAATGTAATGATATTTCACACCTGATATTTAATTATTAAATTACATATCTGTAGGTAATGCACTAGAACAAAGCAGCCATACCAGTAAGTGGTGGCAGAATCAGGTATCCTGATGTGAAGTTAAATGGGTGTGACTTTTCTCATTAACTCCTGCTGCTAATAAGACCTGAATTGTAGTTGCAAAGGAAGAGTAATTTAGCTATTAAAGATGTAGTTGGCTTTGATTTGTAGTCCTCTTGAATGGATTGACAAACAGTATGCATTAGGTAGCTCACACTTAAATCTGTAATTAACTAATTAGTCTCCAAATCCAAAAGGGGCAGAAGTTCCTGGCAGCAACCTGTGGATCCTTAATGGCCTGGACAGAAACTAATACGTGTGAGGAACATATATGTGAGAAAAATGCACTTGCATTTTTAATTAAAATGAAGATTGAATAGAAAACAATAGTGTCCTGTTGCTTTACCTTCATTCAGGCCTAACAATTTCTTACACTGTTGACTTCCATGCAGGTAGCCTGTGATGATAAAGGACGACCATGTACAGAACTAGTGTTCCACTGATAATTGTATGCATCCACATGTACATATTTAAAAGCATGCACGTGTGGAAGCACACACTTTATCAGTTTTTTAGCAAAAACTTGGAGGGTTGTGTTTAACTATTTGCAATAATGTTTTGGCTCTCATCTCAATCAGACAAATGTTTAGAGTCTAACCCTCATATGAAGTTAAATAGGTTAAATGGGTACTGCTTTATGAACTTGAATTTTCACCAGTTGAAGATCTGGCATACAGAAAACACAGCATTCAAAACTGATTAGGCTTTGTTTCTCATGAATACCAACAAATTATCATTTTCTTTTTAATTTAAGTGGATTGTATAGACATGCCAAAATTTAGGGTTTTTTTTAAATGCATTGTTAGACAATTGATCATCTTGGTGCAGGTATATCATCCCTGTCTCTAAGTTTCAAACCTAAGGTTCTCTGCCTGTCTGCTAACTCTGTTTACCCTACTGGCAGTTAACTTCTGACATCCAAAATCAGGAGTTTTTCTGTAGGACTGTTATATGTGGTCACTGCTATCATATTAAATCCCAAGATCTTTTAAACCTGCTCACCACAAAGCAAATCGATAAGATGCTTAAAATAGTGGCTCTGAATGATGGCTCTCTACTGTTGGAACTTACCAGCTAGTGCTGCTAGGTCTCATAACAAGAAAAGGTTTAAAAATTAAGAAAGGTGCAGGTAAGTGATTACCCATTCAACTCTCATGCAGCAGTTGCTATCAGTTGATGAAAAAAAAAAAAAAAGAAGAAATATACATAATTTTAACAAGTTATTAACAGACAATATGGAGCTAAGAATACTAAGTCTCATCATCGAACTCTGACTGACTGATGCTACCTCTTTCAGCCTTAATTTCTTAGATTTCAAACAAAACTAATGGCATTCATACTCAGTTTGCTAGCTGGCACAAACAAAAGTATGCAAACTCTGAACACGAAAGGTAATGAAGCATGAGCCGCCATTGAGCTCTATAAGGTTTGGAAGCTGCAAAAGCTAAAATGTAAGAAAATGGGTAACTTGCATGAAATAAAATTCCTTTCTTCCCCCTTTATGAAAGCCTCTTTGCCTGTCATTTTTATTCTTTATTAGTTAACGAATTCCATGTAATTGCCAGTTTTCTGCCACCTCTTTGTCCCCTGCTGCAATAGATCTAATCTATTCAGGGGAAGATAACTGCAGAGCTCTTGAGACACAAGGCAAAAAGGGAAGAAAGCAAGCACTGCTCCATCTCACCACTGTTGTGCGCCTCCAGCTGCGAGGCAGAGTTGACAGCGACTTTGCATAGTGAACAGTACAGCAGCCTCTTTGCTTTCTCTTCCTCAGTCTCAACGGAAGGGCATGTGGTGCTGCTAGCGGCTGTCGTGGGGATTTTCTCCACTTTAGAGGTGATCTCAGTTGTCATAACACTGCTCTTCCGGATTTCCACGGTGGTTGTTGTTGATATTGCTGGTGTCCCTGTGGTAACGTCTGTGGGCCAAGAGAGGAGATGGAAGGGAACAAACAAACAAAAAAAAAAAGGTTGTGACCTTTGGCATTTGCTTCTTTGCATCCTAATGCTGTAACCACACAGAGAGCCAGCCCATGCTGGTGATGGTTTGACTAATGGTAATGAACTAAATCTGATCTTATTTTTGTGTTTTCTGTGGTTACAAAATACAGTGCTCCCATGTATTGAAATGTCATGTATTCTGTCTCCTGCATTCTGCTAACACACAGTAAATACAGAATTCATAAACTGAAAAGACAGGTCATTAAGACTGCACTGTACAACTGAAAGATAATCCACTAAAAGAGGTCATATAAATTCCCAGTACAATAGGAAGTTAAAAATCGTATGCTGCACTTCAGATACACAAACTGCTGTAGTACTGCATAATACTGACGTTGATTCAGTAGCCAAGCTAGAATTTTAACATTCTGTACTAATAAAACTAAAACTAAAATACTCATCTGTTCTTGATACTTGATAAAATTTAACTTTAAATTGATACTTCACTTGATATTAGCCAAAAATGTTATGAAGTGAAGACAATTATTAATACACAGTATACATTTAGCCATACCTTGTTATTATCCATTATTACATAATGACAGTACATACAAATAGCAGTAATTAAATGTACAATATTCTATATCTGGGACCTACACAAACATTAATAGGATTTCTGTTCTGTATATCAGTGGTATGTTTGGAAAAACTGTAAGCACATTATATACCTAAATCTATTCAGAAACATAGAGTGTTCATCTAAGAACTTGTGCTTTCTGTAGTTTTCAAATCCAAGAGAGAGAAAATATACAATGATATTGCAGGTTGAATAATATATATATGACATTTGGATATGGCAGTATCATTTGGTAGTTAACTGCTTAGCAGGGTAGAGGACAGTAAAATCCAGCACTGAGCCAGCGGAGCAGATGGCAAGTAATAGGCAGGAGAAAGAGAGAAGGGACAGGGGCTGTTCTGCTTTTGAAGTGTTCTATTTTGTCATATCAGTCCTACTGAGTAGCAAGCTTTCCCAGTAAGAAATCTTAGTTACTTCACCAAGATATTCCTGGAATTGGGTACCTTTCAACACAGACAGCTCATCTGGTTTCATACACCCCTTGGTGCTAGTGGTGCTCTACCTGTGTTATGCTTTATTCATTGCCATCTACTGGAGTAGGAAAAATTAAAGTTCTTTTGATTATAGATCTCAGTATGTGCTGTGATGCAGGAGGGACACAACTAACTGATGCCACAGAGATGTGTTTCAGACTAGAAGTTCAACAACTTCATTAATGAAGAACATGTCTAACAACTTAGCAGACAATAGCAAACACAGAGCAACCACAAATACCCTGAGAGACAGAAATAAAACAGGTTTTAATGCATTGGAGAAACAGTGTAGAAAATTAGATGTTTTTCAGTAAAGATGATTGCAGGAATCTACACTCAGTAAGATTAATCTGATCTATTAAAACAAGATGAAGAACAGCCCCAGTCTTGCTTCTTGGAGAGGGTTTGTTTTTGTTTGTTTGATCTGGGGTTTGTTTGCTTGCTTGTTTTTCAGTAGTGGATAACAAGAGGAACACAGGTCTTTCATATCATTGTGTTATGAAACATGTCCCCACCACCCTGGAAGTGCAAAGCTGAAGGATTTATGAAGTATTTTTCTCTTCTCTAATCAGCACTGGAGTCCAGCCTGAGGACTGCAATATCAAAAATTAAAAATTACATGCTTTGTTGTTAATCTAGCAACAATACAAATGCAAACCAACAAGAAAGGGGTTGTGAGGGAGGAAGCCAAAACAAATTAGAGGTTTAGAAAACATGGACTGTGAATATAGAAGTTGAAGGGTAAACACTGAGAAGATTTTTCATCTCTGTAGAAGGTAGCTAAAAATAAGAGAATAAACTCTTCCTCCTGATCCCTCCTAAACAGGACAAGGACTATTGGATTACATCAAGAGAGACTTAGATTAGACATTGAGAAATTTTTTTTCCAATATTAAAGCGTGTAAAGCCTGAGAATAGCCCACCTACAGAGATCCAGAAATATTGCCTGCTGGAGGACTTGCAACTGGCTGAACAAGTATCTGCAGGAGCAACCCAGGTATGAGTCCCTTTCAGTCAGGGGGAATAGCACCCTTCAAGCCCAGTCAATTGCTATGCATTATACAATTTTGTAATGTTTCTATATGTTCTCCCAGAGGGTTTTAAAAAATTGTTATTCATAAAACAAAAAAAGCATATTCTGTTGTGAATAGTCTATTCTTCTGTTCCTTTTTTTTTTTTTTTTTTTACAGATGAACAATAATGTTTTAAAAATACTATTTAGAAATACTAAACATTTAGTTTGGAAACTGATGAGTAAATGAAGCTTTTGTAGATCTGTCCACAAAAGTATACATTTAACTAGTCACTACTTTCCCATCCCAAAGAATCCATGTTCATGTTAGCTTTTCTTCAGCTGAAAGTTACTTCAGTGAAATTATTTTCCTCTAAAGACCACAGTACATAACACTGCTTTGAAAATTTCAGTTTCTCCATGCTGGGACTACTACACAGTACTAGGTCCAAGCAATGTACTTTCCTGGTGAAAAGGAAGGCAGAGGGCAGACAGCACCAGAGAGAGGGAAGGAAAAAAAGAGAGAAGACATTAACATTCTCTAAGGATTGATGGCAAGGTTGGTGCTCATTCTAATCTTGCAGAAAATTAGATATGTACGTCAATCACCATTACCAGTTTTGCAGTGCAAGGGTCAGTAATTTGCCCTAAGAAAAATATAGATCACACTTTCTTTATTTTCCATAGGAGAGCCTGAGGCAGTAAACAACAAAAATAGCTTAAATAACTTCAGGTTTTATTCTGCTTCAAATACTTGACCTCCTATAGCTATGTTGGTCTAATATTTCACCATGTAATTATTTTAAAGTGAAAAGAAAATACAATTGATTATGCTAATCCTTTCAAGGGTATTTTGATATGCATGTGTGAAAGCAGCATTGTATAGAAAAATTAAACTAAAAATGATAAATGTCACGACCATATTCTTCAACTAACAAAAATATCAAAGTTTGGAAGATATATTCTGCTTATATATCTTTCAGAAGGTGACCTATATTAATACATTATAGATTACACTAATGTAAATTCATTAATGTCATCAAAACATCTTCAAGAAAAACGTCCAAGTTCACCCTCTAAAAGCCGTAACACATTTAAAACTGCAAAGTTGCTCCTCCTCATATAAACTTCAGAATTATCTACAGGAATTAAAGGAGAAACATTTAAAAAGATTTCAGGTAAGCTTAAAAATAGGGAATGCAAATCCTCTTCTTACCAGAACTTCTAACCTCACCAGCATGTGTCTCTTTGAATATATTACAGACTTTCTGCCTGTACACAGTTCAGTGCCCTAAATACAGGGTCCAGCATTAAAGGTATAAAGGATTAAAAAAAACAACCAAACAAACAAAAAACCCAAAAAACCCCCCACCAAAAACCCAACATCAAAAATGAGTAAGAAGGAATTTAAACTGATGCCTTGAAGACAGATTAGCATTTCTTAACATTATATTATGACAGTGTTTTAAGAACTATTTCAATAATAAATGTTCTAAAATCGAGCTAGAAATTCAGTCACAGTCAAATGGAAGATTTGTTTCTGGTGACGCAGGCTTGCAGCACTGTGCTATTTTCATACCAGTGGCCTGCAGCAAATATTCATTATTGCAACTGTCACTGCCTGGCTTTGGCATAGAAGCTGATTGCTAATAGTGTATGGAACTGGACTCCAGCAGCAAAAAAAAGGAACACTTCAGGATTCACAATAATCCAGTTGTGTTCCTGGTCTTAATATAGCAATTGAATAAAAATTATAAATAAATAAATAAATAATTACATTAAAAAATAATCTTGCTCACTGGCAAAATCAAAGATTTATTTTAATGAGAAGATAAAGCCAGATGAAAAATATTTTGTGAAAATTGACTTCTTTAGGTACTACAGATACCATAGTCATAGTTCAAGTGGAAATCTGCAAGTGTGTGATTAAGGTCCGCCAAGTAAACAGGATTAATTTTATACCCCAGCTACAAGATCCATAAATTTTCTTTAGGCTGAAAAAACAGAAAATTACAGCTCGTGTTTTTCTTCAGAGTATGTGAAAGTCTCACTCATCAGTTCCTGCTACTAAGCATAAGAATTTCTTATCCTGAAACTATAAATAGACCTCCAGAGAGAAAAGTGCTCTGACTTCAAACAAATCACAACTTTTTATGAGTATATTTTTTCTTTGGCAATCTAAAGAGACATGAATTTTAAAAATATCTGATTTAGCACAAACCCATGCTTTTTGTTCTCATTTAAATGAATTTTTTCCTTTGACAAAAGAATTGAACATTTGGCCTATAATGCTGTCTAGAAAAAGAAAAAAAAAATCACATCCTCAAAAAACCCACCAAAACCTCAAAAAAACTCTAAACAACCTCCACCCGCAGAAACTAGGAAGCATATTCTTTCTCATGACAAACAGAACTTGATATGAAATATTTCACTATATTGTAAGACCTCTAAGTATTGCAAAAACATTTTCAGCTTACTCTCTGACAGCAAATGCACATCAAGTAACAGAACTCCTCTACAGGTGCTTCACTCTGGCATGTTCAAAAGAGTCTTGGCATATTATTTTCCCACCTACTAAGAACCAGGTCCTTGGTTTCCTTGGGCTGCTTTAGCATGCTCTGTGTCCTCTATGGCAATTACATTTGAAGATAAGATGTAATTTCTTTTAAATTGATAAATGTAACAGTGGAGTATATTAAAAACAAAGTACCATCTCAAAAATAACTGTGTGACTATTTTTCCATGTTTGGCCGACTTTCTGCACTCACATGTTAAAATGTAAGCATGTGTGCTAGCATATTGGCTGGCTCTGACACTTAAACAAAACACTTTGACAAACTCTGACTCAAATGTTTC